ATGACATATATCAAGGGATCAACTTCTCAAAGTTAAGATGTCCTTGTGCATACATAGTCACTTAGTCAACACTAATATAGTTTCATTGTTTAACAACTCAAATGCTCTACTGGTTTAGAGGAGGGGGTATTGGGATTGGTGTTCACTGTTTTGGAATAATCAATTACATTAATGATGTATAACGTAAGTAACTCGATCAAAATATATTTTGTATTACAAAAATAAAATTAGAAGATGGACACCAATTGATATTCAAAATTACAAATAGAATGAAATGATGATGACCAAAAAGGTGAACAAGAAGGTTATCTCGTCTCATAAATATAACCAAACTTGATTTATACAAAGTTTAAGATAAGGAATGCCGTGGAGTTTTTTCCCAAGAAAATTGACATTCCAATATTATTTCCTGATCAAGGGTACTGTTAAATGAAATTCCTAAATAAAAATAGTTTTTATCTTGTCATCTGTCATGTAAGTGATCACGTTACCTATGTCTTGTCACTTTTAAACCTATGCATTTGGTTACGTCATGTGATTTAAATTTGGGAAAAATCATTAAAATACCCCAAACTTTGAAGGAGTGTGAGATAAACATCCAAAACTTACATATGTAATTTAAATACCCCAAACTTTATATAAAAAATTATTCTAGTACCATGGTCATGAATAATTTCTTTCAAGCTTGATAAATTTAGCATCAGGGGCGGACCACTGTTAGGGCAGGGGTGGGCTTCAGCCCAGCCCATTTATTTAAGTAGTATAGGTATATGTTATATTGTCAGCCCATCCCAAAATTATTTCTCACCCCAGTCCCAGAGTTAATTCCCGGCCCAGGCGCCTAACCCACAGCCCAATAAATAAACCTGGTCTTCTGATCGTTCTCCACTTATCGGCCTTCTGACTTACGCTGAGCATTGAGCGTTGAAGGAGCGATCGATGTGCAGAGGGAAAATCGAAGCTTGAACCTGCGAGGAAGAATTGAACACCAGCCGCGCCGCCGCCCTCCCACCTGTGTCGTCCGCCGTCCCTGCTTCTTATCTGGACTCAGGCAGTCCGCCTTTGCCTCCCTCCAGGACTCCAGCCGGCCTCCAGGTACTCCAAAGTCCAAATTGTACTTGTGTTTTAGATTTTTAATTTATTAGTTTGATTGACTTGGTCTTTTGGTGTTAAATGTTAGATTGTATTTGTGAATTAATGAATTATAAATGTGTTATGTGTTCTACCCTATAAGTCTATAACCGTATTATAATGAAGAGTTTTGTATTAATATATTTTTAGCATTTTTTAGTTTTAGGGTTAGGAAATGATTTTGATTTTTAATATAATTTTTCAGTACATAATTAAATACGGAGTAGTGTTTAATTCATTGTAATTTTAATGATTAAAGATAGAATTAAATTGTAGAAAATGATTTAGTTACTACTTACTATGCAATTGAAAATTGACAATACTTATTAGTTTTATGCACAACGATTATTTTTCCTTATTAGTTATATTTTTTTATATAAGTATTTTAATTTATACAAATGTTTTTTTAGAATGGATAAGGAACACATTGCCAAGAAAGGAAAGGTGTTGATTTCATCATTCTTTCCAAAACTGAATCGTCAAACTGGTGAAAGAAGTTCTGAACCTATACCTACAATAGTGATGAATTTTATACTTTGAAGTCGCGTAGGGCACAATTTAAATGATGTTTTGATGAATATTTAAAGTGTTAATGACTAGACTTATTATTATGTATGTGTATTTCGATTTTTTCCCTGGCCCACCCCATTATGACTTTCTGGATCCGCCCCTTAACCCGTCCCACTTGGTGCTGAATAAACTTTGTAGCTCACTTCTAAAATTTGCGGAGACAGGCGTGAGTGCACGATTAACTTGAAGAAGACAAACCGGGAGAAGAAAGAAATGGCGTCGAACGCGGCGGTGCCGTTCTGGAGAGCAGCTGGAATGACTTACATAACTTACTCCAACCTGTGCGCCAACATGGTGAGGAATTGCCTTAAGGAACCCTACAGATCTGAAGCCCTAAGCCGTGAGAAAGTCCATTTCTCCATGTCCAAATGGGCAGAGGGAAAGCCTCAGAAGCCCAGTAAGTACTACTTCACTTAATCGATCCAAATCATATCTCTGATATTATCTCGTTTACAGATCTTAAAATGGTTTGTTTGATTGATTTAAATTATGTCGTGTTAGAAAATTTGTTCTTTTGGGTTTTGATTTGTTGAATATCGTTTCTTTCCAAATTATGCCCTAGAGCGTGGTGAGAGTGTGAGACCGCCAAGAGCTGTGGTTTGTCCTATGAGCTTCATTATGATGTCATTCTATTATTCTTAATCGTTAGCCATCACCCTGGAGTACTTGGGTAACTTGGCATGATATCATCTGCAACGGATTATCTGGTTTATATTATCATTATTATAAGCTGAAAATGTAGAACTGTTTTAATAGTATTAATTTTGAATGTGTGGTCGTATCTCTACAGTATGACACTGCAGTTATCCATTATGCACATTTTGGTTTTACAACATTAATTCTTAAATAGGACACGACTCTGTTAACAATCTCAAATCTTCACCACCTATTTGTAAAAATGTCATCTCAAAAGATGTCATGGTAAGCTATTGTCCCTCCTTTACAATGAAGCCATATGGTCTACATTTCTACAAGATGGTCAATCAGCTTAGTTTTTCACTATAATGTTATGCATGAAATTGTAGCATTAACTAATTGAAGGTATTTAACTCTATAATTTTTGTTGTAAAAAAACTCTATAAATTTCGTGCCACCCTAACACTGACCCAAGGTAGTTGGGATGAAGGTGACGGTGATGGTGCTAATGATATATAGTGACAACATCACAAGCTAGACTGTTATGTTGACTTAAAACTTTCTCAATTATGATAATGTGGAACTTTATGGAAAAACTTCTGTAGCTGACTAGCTGTTAATTCAATTGTGAGTACAATTTTATCTTAAATATATAGATGTATGGCTTCCTCAGGTGGCTTACTTGTATTAGTTATTTAGTTATAGGTATTTTTTTCCTATTGAAAGTCCATCATGCCACCTTAGGGTTTTGCTATGTCCTGTTCAAAGAGTAACCTTGTTGGGTTTGAAAGCCCCATTGTTTGTTAAGTATTTCTAGATTGTATCTCAAGGTCTTCAATGTGAAAGTGCAGACAATTTGCTTACATAACTTTCTATATGAATCTTCTCCTCCTACTATTCATATGTCTTCTATTTTTTCCGTATTAGATCTTCTCAAGAAGTTTATTGATAGTATCCTATACTTCTCAATAGTGAATCATATCAAGAATCATCAAATAAAATCTGTATTCAGTTTAGATGCATAACTTTGCTTGTTTGGCTTTGATGGTTGTAGAGATTTGGAGTTCATAAGATAATATGATTGTTATATGTGTGTTTCTTGCTAATTTTTCAACATCCCTGGTACTAATATACTTCTCTTGGGTTTTACTTTAACAGCCGTCCGTTCAGATACTCCTGAATGAGGCTGATCACATCACTCATGGCTGTGATTGGGATCTTTTGCACTGCCATGTAACCTTTCACCATATTTGGAGCACTTTTAAAATAAATAGAAGGCTGCAGAAACAGTAGAACTTCGATATTATGTCTACATGTTGCAAATCTGGAATTCCTCCTCACTCGGATTTGTTGACAGATACTGTTCTTTTGTTGTTAATTAATTGTATTGTCATTTCAATAGGGATTTGTTGTTTCTATTGTGTTAATGTCTTCTACTGCCCATCGAGGTTTGTGAGTGACAAATAATATAACCACACCATTCTGCTATCATCATTTTATATGCTGTTTTAATTTTGTGCATCAGCCATGCTTTTCGCTCGCGCTGTAGCTCGCTGATCCTATTGCTGCAAGTTCTTCCGATTTGATTTTCCGGCCATGGCTCTTGATATGGTGTTTTAGATGAAACATCTTTGTTTACATTTTCTTCCCTTTTATTTGGCCTTTTGATTTAGACTAGATTATCGTTGGTAGGGGTGTTGCCGTGTTGGTGACTTGGTGGTGAGGTTCAGGTCGGTTGAATTTTTAAAAATGTCCTTTAAAAAACCAAGCTGAGTTATTTCAGTATAATTTTGGTTTTGTTGGGTTTGTTCTGGGTTTGAAGCAAAGTAAACCCTGAGATTTAACCATCAATATTTGGAAATGATGTTACTTTTAAACCATCAATATGACACATGTAATCAAGGGTGAAAATTTTAATATGCTTAATATGACATATATCAAGGGAGCAACTTCTCAAAGTTAAGATCTCCTTGTGCATACATAGTCACTTAGTCACCACTAATATAGTTTCATTGTTTAACAACTCAAATGCTCTACTGGGTTCGAGTAGGGGGTCTTGGGATTGGTGTTCATTGTTGTGGAATAATCAATTACATTAATGATGTATAACGTAAGTAACTCGATCAAAATATATTTTGTATTACAAAAATAAAATTAGAAGATGGACTCCAATTGATATTCAAAATAATAAATAGAATGAAATGATGATGACCAAAAAGGTGAACAAGAAGGTTATCTCGTCTCATAAATATAACCAAACTTGATTTATACAAAGTTTAAGATAAGGAATGTCGTGGAGCTTTTTCCCAAGAAAATTGACTTTCTAATCTTATTTCCTGATCAAGGGTACTGTTAAACGAAATTCCTAAAGAAGAATAGTTTTTATCTTGTCATCTGTCATGTAAGTGATCACGTTACCTATGTCTTGTCACTTTTAAACCTATGCATTTGGTTACGTCATGTGATTTAAATTTTGGAAAAATCATTAAAATACCCCAAACTTTGAAGGAGTTTGAGATAAACATCCAAAACTTACATATGTAATTTAAATACCCCAAACTTTATATAAAAAATTATTCTAGTACCATGGTCATGAATAATTTCTTTCAAGCTTGATAAATTTAGCAATACCCGACCCACTTGGTGCTGAATAAACTTCGTAGCTCACTTCTAAAATTTGCGGAGGCAGGCATGAGTGCACGATTAACTTGAAGAAGACAAACCGGGAGAAGAAAGAAATGGCGTCGAACGCGGCGGTGCCGTTCTGGAGAGCAGTCGGAATGACTTACATAACTTACTCCAACCTGTGCGCCAACATGGTGAGGAACTGCCTTAAGGAACCCTACAGATCCGAAGCCCTAAGCCGTGAGAAGGTCCATTTCTCCAAGTCCAATTGGGTAGAGAGAAAGCCTCAGAAGCCCAGTAAGTACTACTTCACTTAATCGATCCAAATCATATCTCTGAGTAAAAAGTTCTCTAGTCATTTTGTGCATAAAAAGTTGATGGTTTATCTATTAATATTTGTACAATCATTTTCACTATGTAGTAAAAGTGATGTTGAACCTATCTTAAAGTTCATGACTTATTCGTATTTATGTTCTGGCTTTCTGCATGTTTTAGTTTTACATCTACTCTTAATTTGGCACAGAATGCTTCCAGTCATCTAATCTTTTTCTATGGTCTGCTATATAATGATCATTGATGGCAGGAAGGTTGTTTGGCTTTACAAAGACACTTTATGACATCCAATATTAAGGAGGTAATGTTTTCAAATATTGCCGTTCCAGAATACTTAGACTGATTAGGCAAATGGTTTATTGCTCTCATCATCACGGCTTTGAGGCTATTTAGACATGTTTATAAACAAAAATAAAATATTTTTGCACATATGTTGTTTGATGAAATGCTTAGATGATCCTAAAAAAGAGTTTTTTAAGATGTGGAAGTGTAATATCTCTTCTTAAATTCAATGTTCTTATTGGCTATGTCCAGTTGAGTGTTTATATATCTTTCCAGGAAATAAGGGCATTAGAAGTTTATAATAGTTTGGAGTCTAATGTTTATCTTAAACTATAAATTGAAATGAAATAAAAAAGAGAAGAATAGGAAAATAAAGGAAAGAAGGGAAAGAAAAGGAGTCGAAGGGAAAGAAGAAGAAATGATAACCTTGTTGTACATATATGCGAACTATATATATTTTGACATGTCTAACTTCACGATACTAACACTAATAACATGGCCTCATAACCTTTTTTATTTTCATAATAGCGTGGATAACCTGGGTTTCCATATGGACAACCTTTTTATGCACATACAATCTATATATTTGTGCACATATGAAGTATATGTTAAGACATTCTTAATCTCTTGGCATTAACATATATTAAAACATTCTTAATTACTAAGCTTCACCTTCACTTTTGTAGGGCAACATCAAAGACTTGCAGTTACGAATTTGTCCCTGGGAGATGATTTCACAGTTGTGGAGTATGCAGTAGTATAAGTTAAAAAGGAAAGAATAAATTATCCTTGTGCACCCAACTGTTTTGTACCCCTCCTCATGCTTTGTTAATGAGAAATCTTTATTTGTCAATTGTCATTGAGGCTATCTATTTCAACATGCAGTTAAATAAACATTCATGTGAACCTTTTAAAAAAACGTTCATGTGAAAGAAACAAAAAAGGCAAGTGCAGGTTGGTTGATTAACCTTTAGATACACAAAGTGATTTTTTTATCTCTAAATAGTTTGTTTGAGAGCTTATGGGTCATCCAACTCACTTTCTAAGAGAATATGCAGATTGTGTTATGATCTTATTTAGTGATTCAATAATGAGTTTTATCATTTTGTATTAACAGAAAGCTGATTTTTGTGTCTTATAAGCTGTGTTTTTGGTGTCTAATAAGCTGCGTTTTTCATAATCTATTCAGGACAAAATTCCTAGATGATTAAAGAGTCTTTTCCCAACTTCCAAGTGTATTCATTATGAAGCAATCTATGCATTTTGATGTGTAACTCAGGTTGAAAAAAATCCGGTTTTAATAGAATCCAAAATTTCAGGTTGGTTCTTTGAAGCGGAAGCAACTTTCAGTCTGGCCGGTCAATCTGATTCATATGACAACAAGGCAGATCCTAGATGATTGCAAGGTTATAGATTTTGGAGATATTCAAAAAAGGTGAATCTCTTGACTTTTGACTTAGTTCTTTAATAGCATACATTTGGATATGATGTAAGTTTAATGTCGGATAACAATTATCATTTCTAACACCAGTCTCATTTTATGCTATTCTTTGCATAAGTAACACATTGTTTTTCATCACCTTCTCAGGTCATATTGGCGCATAAACTGTGAATGTGCATTACATGAATTCCATGCAGGAACACAATTGATGGGTATTGCATAACATGATTAATCTATGTATGACCAAGGTAATTCCTGATACAATATTGAAATTGATGCACTCTACTTTAATTTTAATCCATTATCTATTTAATTTTGTTTTTACTCCAAAATTTTAATGCATGAATATGATATATGAATGCCAGCAGTTATTGTCATTTTTATTTCAACATCTTCTTTATGAACAAGGTAACTTTCTTGTGTGGCAATATGGAAAGTGACTTTATTCATTATGACTGGGATATCATCAGAATTTTAGAGAACCCTTGATTAATTTTTAAGGTAAAATCATTCAAATAAAACCTCTTTCTACTTATATGTATTATAATACTTGATTAATGTAAAACAGATATCAAATGATTACCATAACAAAATTGTTTTAAAGATTAGCAATTTGATGGATTCCTGACCCAAAATGCTAACCGTAAGAAGAGTTTAGGCTAAGAGGGTCAACTTTTTTAATCTTTTCCCAATGCTTTACATTGTTGGAATTTTCTATTGTGCATATTGAATCAGTTTTCCAGTTCAATTTAGATCTTTCCGACACTAAGAAGCTGGAAAGTTGGGTTTTCCATGTTCTCTGGGAGAAGACAAGTTTTCACGATTTTGATACTTTTTCTAATTGAGATAATAACTTTTTTAATCCCTTACCTTCAATTTCTTGATAGTTTTCTGTAATGTAGAGGCAAACGGGTGGCTAAACATTGCTCTGTAGCTGAACTTGATAATAGTAATCACTTCATAACCTGACTTTGTAGATAAACTGTTAAGGTGGTATATTCCAAAAACTGCAGCTTATATGTCTATCGAAATGAACAATACATTGACTCAAAAACTGATTTATTGTCTTCTCAATTTTCTCAGAATTTTCAATTTTAACTAAATGTGCGGACTTTACACAGAAATGCCGCTTTTACAAGAATTGATAGAGGGGCAGCCTCCACTTATGAAAGCTATCAAAACCAATGGATAATGGTCTTTACTCACTCTCAAGAAAAGACAATAAATAAGGGAATATGGTCCATGTTCTTTGATGCAAAAAACTCTGAATTGTATTATGCTTGGAAACTTAAAGTACTCAGAACTACTCAAATTTTTATTTACCTTTGTTTCTAGGCACAATCAATGCCAAGGAGATGATTGTTTCCATGAGATTTCTCTAAAGTAGCTATTCCTATATGTTACGGTACAAATACTCTATTTTTCTCTAATAAGCTATGCAAAATAAAATGCCCTTTTATAATAAAATTAGGAAAGTGTCATGTTTTCTTAGGGGGGTGTCCCCAACTTTGTTTTTGAAAGATTTCTAAGGATTGTGAATTTCATGGATTTTAATGGAATTCAAGAGAATCAATAGATTCCAAAAGAATTGAATTCCATGGATTCCAAAGGAGTTGAATTCAATGGATTTTAATGAATTCTGAGGGTGTCATGTTTTCTTAGGGGGTGTCCCCATCTTTTCATGTTCTTTTTTTTCTTTCATTTTTTTAATCGATGATATGCGTATACCATTGGCAGTGTTTAAACAAATGTGGGCACTCTTAATGGTGAAGTTGGGGTTGAAGTGTGTGAAGCATCTTGGTGAATTATCATTCATGCCAGCCCACAAAACATCTGGTTTGACTGGGGATATCTTATTAGTTGAGATTGTTATGGATGGGTAATAAAAAAATAATCTAGAACATGACCAACTCATCCGTATTGTTTGACTGTAAGCCAACCATATTTTTCTCTCTACAAGTTAAAGACTTTTTAACCAGTTCCAACTTTTGCTTAGGAGTACAAAAATTAAAAGAATGAATTGCTTCCATGTTTGCTATAAAGTACAAAAATTGTCCAAAATATGGGTACTCTTTTTCTCCAAATAGGAGTATTTACTGCTATGTTTAAAGGAATATTTTATGATTTTAATTATTTGTGTGATGACTTATATTTTAATTCTTAATACAAATTTGTAAATTCGTTTATATATTCTTATATTTATAATATCTAGAAATTACATCATGGTAACGCACGAGTGATGTATTACAATTCGTAACGTGTGGTTATTAAACATCTTATATTTGATAGTATTTATTTACAATTTCTCTCATTCATGTGATAAAAATCCGATGTAAGAGTGTAAGACTTAGAACTATGTTTATACTTTGTATATTGCAAATTATCATTTGTCATATCTAAATTTCTCGTTGCATGGGTGGAATACTAGTAGGAAAATAAAGGAAAGTCGAAGGGAAAGGAAGGGGGAAAGGAAAGGAAAGAAGAAGAATAGGAAAATAAAAGAAAGAAGAAGGGAAAGAAAACTAGTCGAAGGGAAAGAAGAAGAAATGATAACCTTGTTGTACATATATACGAACTATATTTTGACACGTCTAACTGCACGATAGTAACACTAATAACATGGCCTGATAACCTTTTTTATTTTCATAATAGGCTTGGATAACCTGGGTTTCCATATGGACAACCCTTTATGCATATACAATCTATATATATGTGCACGTATGAAGTATATGGTTATTTTAGTCAATTCAACAAAAACACTTCCTTTAATAACACTTCAATTTCCTTACTCTCCCAAACAAGATAAGTTTATTTTTTACACCTACACTTCCGTTACCATCCTTACACTTTCTGACGCTCCCATTACTAACTTTTTGGAACTTGGATGCCCGGAACCAAAGTGTTTCAACAAGCCTATGCTTGCAGCATTCTTAGTTTGTGAGGTGTTTAACATGCAACCTGCCTGATTAAGTTTTATGAATACGTGTTGTAAAGTTTATTGGCAGGACAATAAACAACAGTATATTGTGTAGTAAAGCTTATTTGCATTTTATGACTATGCCGGGATCTCTTGCTTCCTTGTCCTCTTCGCCGGAATCATGTCCGGCTTCACCTTGGGCCTCATGTCATTTGGCATCGTGGAGCTCGAGATCCTCATCCTCTAGCGCAGTGGAACTCCGACCGAGAAAAAAGAAGCAGGTTCACCCTTTTTGGGAAAAAATTACTACTCCGTGTTATATAAGCGACATGAATTTATGGGTGTTCATGCTATGTCAGTAAAATTGTCAATTCAGAATCTTTTTCTTTGGGTTTTATTTGTGTTGATTTATGGGTATGGATCAGCAGTTTCATTCATTCATCCAGTCTCTCATATGCCTGAAGACAAATTGGTAATTTGGTATGACAGAATTGTGTTAGACAAGCAGCTAGGCAGCCGGTGGAATTTTATAATAAAGTGTATAAAAGAAGAAGTAATAAGACTACTTTAATAACTAATAACTAACAGGAGGGTTAGTTAGTTAGTCTGTTGTCCCTGCGTGGACATTTACTATAAATAGAGATGTTCAGCTAGCAGAAGAAGGTTGGATTTTGGCTAGAACAGGACTGGGAGATTGGAAATCTCGAATTGTCTGAGCTTTGTATACTTTGACTGGATGAATAAAGTGTGTGTTCTGTGTGTTGTTCATTGATATTTTTGTTGATTTGTGCTGTGTGATTCGTTCTCTATCATTGGTATCAGCGCATACGACTCTGGAGAAGCAGCGCTGGTGATCGGAAGTTGAGCGCAACTATCGGAAAAACCCTCGTTCGATCTGTGAATGGTTAGAACAAGAGGAAACTCGCGCAGTCAGAACAGGATGAGGTCGCGAACACCATCGCGACAACATATGAGAACTTCGCGCAGTCCGGCTACTTCCAGAGGTAACTCGGTTCACTCGCATGCTCATATTGTTCCGCCTAATGACGAACGGTGTAGAGTACATGGGAGAAAGGTAGATTTACCTTTATTCAATGGCGATGGAGCCTACAACTGGATCATACGCATGGAAAGATACTTTCGCTTAAATCATATTGACGAAGAAGAAAAAGTGGAAGCATCTATGATTGCGATGGAGGATAGGGCACTTAATTGGTTCCATGTGTGGGAGAATCAAACGGAGGAAACCAGTTGGGATGCTTTGAAGAAATCTGTCATTCGCAGGTTTCAACCAGAGTTGACTCAAAATCCGTATGGGCCAATGTTGAGTCTGAAGAAAACTGGAAATGTGCAAGATTACAGAGAAGAGTTTGAAAAGGTGATAGCTCCACAGTTGCATATGGACAGGGAATTGCTGAGAGGAGTTTTCATTACAGGTTTGAAGGAGGAGATCAAATCTGAGATGAAATTGTATACATCCAAATCTTTAACAGAGATTATGGACAGAGCTTTACTCATTGAACAGAAGATTGAAACACAATTTGGAAGAAAGAAGGAAGAAGACAAGCTGCCAGGGAGGGAAAGAGGTCCTGTATCAGCCAGATCTCATAGTTGGGGAGACAATTACAAAATGAAATCTGGTTACATTTGGCCATCTCAGAATAAAATTGTAGCAGAGGGTAAGAGCAATAATTCGGGGATTGATAAAGCTGGCAAGAAGATTAATGAATCTTATCCATCTGGAATCAGAAGAGCAGGACCCCAGTTGTCTCAAGATGAATTTCAGGAGAGAAGTAGAAAGGGGCTATGCTTTAAATGCGGGGAAAAGTGGAACAAAGAACATACTTGTAAATTGAAAAATTTCAAGTTAATGTTGATTGAAGAATCAGATGAGGAAGAACCTGTAGAGGAAAATGATATCATAATTCCAGAAAGTGTATCTGAAGAAGCAATGGAATCTAAATCTATGCAGTTATCTTTGATGAGCAAGGAAGGGATTCCAACTTTGAGGGCTTTTAAGGTACATGGAATTCTGAAGGGAAGGGCAGAAAATCAACAGGTAGAGGTGCTAATTGATAGTGGGGCCACACACAACTTTATTTCACAAAAGTTGGTTGAGCAATGGCAACTACCTTTTCAGACCATTTCTGGTTATAAGGTGCAAATTGGTAATGGGGAGCAGATATCCAATAACAAGAAGTGTCCACAGATGAGGTTGAGCTTACAAGGTGTTGATATTGTACATGATTTTTATATCCTTAATCTGGGAGGGACAGATATGGTATTGGGTATGGATTGGTTGACAGGCTTGGGGGATGTTGAAATAAACTTTCAGAAACAGACTATTAAATGGGAGCAGGGGAAGCGGGAGGTGTTCATCCAATGAGATCCAAATCTTAATTCCATGGAAGTATCATTGAAAACCTTTTCACAAATATTGAATGTTAATGGAGATGGTTACTTCTTATATTGTGAAGGGAAGACTATAGAAATGGAGAATGAAGGAGGATTGGAATATATTTGGAAGCAAATTTTAGACGAATTTCCAGAAGTTTCAAAACCTAGAGAGGGTTTACCTCCTAGAAGGGATTGTGATCACTCAATTAATATTCAGGAGGGGGCTAAAATACCTAATATCAAACCTTACAGGTACCCCCAGTACCAGAAGACTGAAATTGAGAAGATTGTGAAGGAGATGCTTGATTCTGGGATCATCCAGCATAGCAACAGCCCATATAGCAGCCCCATTCTCTTAGCCAAGAAGAAAGATGGTGGCTGGCGGTTCTGTGGAGATTACAGAGCTTTAAACAAAATCACAATTCCTGATAAATATCCAATTCTAGTCATTGAAGAGTTACTTGATGAACTTGGGGAGGCAGCCATATTCTCTAAACTGGATCTCAAATCTGGTTATCACCAGATCCGGATGAAAGAAGAAGATAGGGCACAGACAGCTTTCAGAACACACGAAGGTCATTACGAATATTTGGTAATGCCTTTTGGTTTAACTAACGCTCCCTCCACATTTCAATCCTTGATGAACCAAGTACTAAGACCTTATCTGAGGAAGTGTGCTTTAGTATTTTTCGATGATATCTTGGTATATAGTAGAACTAAGGAGGATCACATAGAGCATTTGAGAGCAGTCCTATCTGCTTTGAGGGATAATCAGTTGGTGATTAACCCAAGGAAATGCTCTTTTGGACAACCTCAACTAGTCTACTTAGGGCATATTATTTCTGGAGCAGGAATAACAGCTGACCCTACCAAGATTGATGCCATGGTTACTTGGCCAACACCTCATAATTTGAAAGAATTGAGAGGATTTCTTGGGTTAACTGGCTATTACAGAAGGTTTGTAAGGGGGTACAGTAAGATTGCAGCACCTCTTACACAACTCTTAAAGAAAGACGGTTTTCAATGGGGGGAACAAGCTACACAAGCTTTTGAGGAATTGAAAAGAACCATGACATCACTTCCAGTCCTAGCTACACCTAACTTCAATAAGACATTTACTCTTGAGACTGATGCTTCTGGAACTGGTTTGGGTGCAGTTCTCATGCAAGAAGGCAGACCTGTGGCTTTTATGAGCAAAGTATTATCCCAAAGAAACCAAAACAGATCAGTATATGAACGGGAACTCTTGGCTATTGTTTTGGCAGTACAAAAGTGGAGGCCCTATTTATTGGGAAGGACTTTTGAGATTGTAACTGATCAAAGAAGTCTAAAATTCCTGACATAGCAAAGGTTATTGGGAGAGGAGCAGCAAAAGTGGACTTCTAAGCTGTTGGGATATAATTTCATCATAAAGTACAAACCTGGGGTAGAAAACAGAGCTGCTGATGCTTTATCTAGAAGACCTATGCTCCAGTCTCTTTCAATTGTCACATGTCAAGAATGGGAAGGCTTGGAGGAAGAATTGAAAGCTGACATCAAGTGTGCAGAGCTAATGCAGAAAGTAATTTCTCATCCAGATCAACACTCGGAATTCCAGATTATCAAAGGCTTGTTGTACTATAA